CACTGCCTACATGTCGATTGGCGACACATCGAAATGTTGGGTGGCGGTTCCAACAATTGAATAAAAACGTTTTGTTTTCTTAGCAACGATCATATTGTCATAAACAATAAGTCAAAAATAATTCATTTTTAACGAATTTTTGCAATTTCTAGTAATAAAATTAGTCATCTGATATTGAAGAACGAGCTTGAAATATAGTTACCGTTACTTTATATTGTGACAGTAATTTGTTATTAAATTGAAATAGATTTTGACATTTTGACTATTTTATTTGATTGATTGAAAAGTAGCGAGATAATAAAAACGCGTGCGTTAATAAACTTCTTATCTCACACAAAATGAGTGGGATAAGAAGTTCTTAACTCACTGGCGTAGATAAAATAAATTATGTGTTTCTTCTTTGCATTTTTCGGCTTACGCTCAACAGGAATTTGGTAAAAACATAGATTTTTCAATAAAATAGGTATGCAACCAGCATTACGTACACTTAGGTACGTACTTAGTACGTTTTTTTTGTACGTACTAGTACGTACTATTGTGTACGTACTTGAAACGTACATTTTACGTCCTGTACATACAGTACGAAAACTGTACGTATTTAAGACGTACTGTGCTGTTCAGGTTTATTTATCAGATTATGATAATTCAAAATTTAAAGTCCACATTCACACAAGCGTTCCACACAAATCTCTGATATCGTTACAAAAACAACAGGCTGGTAGATAGCGTGCGTTCTATCTGCCGCAAACATTTGTGTGTGTCTTAATACGGTGTATAAATACAACACACAACAAAAAAATGTATTGATGTGAACCCGCCTTTACACAAATTTGTTCGTGTATGTTAAAATTTACGTAAATGTGTACCTACTATCTACTATACACCGGATAAAGATGCACACAAATATTTGCGGCAAATACAACACACGCTATCCACCAGCTTGTCGGTATTGTAACATCAAAGAGATTTGTTTGGATCGCTTTAAACAAGCGTGGACTTGATTTCCAAATTTTGAAATATAATTTGAAAAATAAATGTAAATATTGTAGCTATATTAAGATAAATCCATAATAATAAGAAAACAAAATATTAAAAGAAGACGTTTATTGGGCAACACCAAAGAGAAAGGTGATGAAAATCTAATAAACACTTTAATAATTATGAAAACAAAGTTTCTTTTGGATACCACAAGTTGATTTTGAAAAACTGATTAATTTTACCGCCAAAAAATTGGATTCAAAACATACAAAACACACAAAATTTTTCGTTATAAAATGTAAAAACACAACATTTTCATCATAAATGTTAGTAAAATAACGATTACGTTGACTTATTTGTTCCACGGTGTAACAATTTTATCATATTTACAGCTAATTAACACATAAAGCATATATAATATTTTATAAATATACAGAGATTAAGCTCAAATTCAAAGAATTATAGTAGGGTATTTCCCATAGTGGAATGTGGAAAAACCCAGAATACTAAAATTGGTTGTAATTGTAATTATTTTTTACGACAAATTATCTAACAACAAAAGTTGGATTTTCCCATTCAAGTTTACGTCCATACGTAGAAACAGTTGTAGGTGAGCAATTGTAGTTTATTTTTAAACTTTTACCGCGAAATAATTTCTATTCATTAATCGATGTCATTCTTATAATAATTTTGAAGAATCCAACTTGGAATCGAAGACGTCACCAGTGTGGTTTTCCATATATTTTTTTATAAGTATACGTTTAACTGACCATTGTAATATCTTTTTTAAGTTGTATTAGTCGACACTAAAATTTTATTACCCCACGTCTCAATATTATGGTACCGTAGGTATCTGATTAATTAATTCTGAAATGTTTTATATTCCAAAATATACTACTAAAAAATACAATAAAAAGAGGTTTTTATTGGATATTTTATTATTCAATATAATTTGGTTCAATGTTCGATCCTGCTTTATCTCATGACCTAAATATGATACCAGAAAAGTAGAAACTAATAAAAACAATTTTTCTTATTTTGACATAAAAAAGACATTTTTTTAAATCGCAGCAAGTGTCAAAATAATCTACTTTACGCAACCAGTTGCATAATGTTGAACATTATGAAACTGGTTACGAAAAATTCATTGTCACCAGTTTTAAAATCAATGTATACATTATTATTGAAAGTTTATATCAAAGAAGGGCAGGTTGACTTATAAAAATAGAATTTGGTTAAACTTACAACCTGGCAATAATGTAGTTTTGGTCCTTATTTTTCATTCTAAATCAACACAAAGTAATTAAAAAACAATTCACGACAAAATAACTCAATTTCTTGAAAACTAAATAACTTTATCAAGCAATAAAAACCACAACAAATCGTTGAGAATTAATTAATAATATAATAATGTTAAATATACATTTTCTATTTAGGGTGATATTTGTTTGGCGTGACAATATATATTTGTTAATAAAATCAATGAAATGCATATGCAATTAACAATACAAGGAGGTAATATTGGTTGCCTAGATGCCAGTAATGTTCTACCAAAATACATTTTTAGATAAAATATTATATGTAACACGTTACGAAATGCCGGTAACTCGTTTATGTTGCGGGATCTCGCTCTACACATCCCGCAAATATTCACTCGTTTCATAAAATAAGGTATTTCGTAACTGGTTGCATAAATAGCTATTATTTTGTACTCTTTAACTAGAAATAGTAGTTATGATGACACAATCATAGCAATCGCACGTAGAATTATGCAGACGCGGCAAGTCTAAGATAAGGCCCCACCAAGATCTAGCGGCAACAAAACTAGTTCGTGGCCGGCATTTTCAAGTTTTTACATTTTAACTTTTATATTGTTAAGCCATAAATAAAGTTCCGCTTTTTTTCTCATTTTTAAAAAAACCAATTTTTATTAACGAACCTAATAGTTAAAGTATTTAATTCAGATAAACATGGCATTTCTTTTTACATTGGTTTTTAATTATTATGTACTATTGAACTATGGTGAAACTTATATCATTAAAAAGCATGTTTTACTAGTTTTCCAATAATGCAGAACAAGTAGGGGTTGCTATTTTTTCCTTAATTCATGAGATATTGCCATTGTAAATTTTTAATTTGCCAACAGGTGAATATTACATAGAGACATCATTCAACAGGGTTTGTTTGATATCAAAGGGGATGCAGATACTAAAGCCGGTGTCGTATAATTTTTACGAGGTTTGAAATTAATATATTATAAATAAATTACATACCTTTAAAACACTTTCTTTTAGTTTGGGGCAACATTTTTTGTAAATCTGGATTTAAGTAGTAATAATAAATAATTATTATTTTTGGCCGATTTTGTTAACCTCTGAGTAAAGTTACAAGTAGAGTTACTTGACAAATTGGGGTACTATAAACTAAAGCCTAATCAGCAAGTACAGTTCATCAAATTTCTAGAGGCTTTCGACGGCTAGACAGAGAAAGCACTACTGACAGGCATCCCGACGGATTTACGCAATGAAAGTACACTCTGCGCATCAAGTATTTCACTATTTCATTCAGACGTAAATGTCAGATGTAAATTTCGCTAAAACATTTCTTTTATTTTCGTTTGTGTTTTTTGCTCATTACAGTTTAATAGAACCTAAGTATGGAGTTTAATAACAAATTAAGAGGCCGCGTGATTAACAGTCAATCTCGCGAAATAATAGCCAATGTTATAGAGTTTATGAGAAGAGAAGGAAACTTTAATTCATCTTCAATACCATTTAAAAATGTAAATGATCGTGTTGCTGCAGCCACAGGAGTATCTAAAAACACTGTCGTCCGCATTTCTGGAGAGAAGAAAAGAATCGATAACCGTGAGATATCGGAATTTTCATCACCAAGAAAAACCATTAAAAAACCAAAAACAGTTAATGATATAGATGAAGCTGCACAAGAATCAAATTTTATTTTTTTATTATTAGATAGCTATTTTTGTTTCTGAGTTGTGTTCATTTACGGGCTCAATTTTTTTCCGTTTCTCCTTTTTGATTTTATATGGGGTTTCAAGTTGTTTTTGACTTATTTCGACGTAAATCACAACAACACACTTTTTTAATAAAGCAAACAAGTGTTAAGAAGAGGTATATGTACGTGTAAACTACAATTACAAAAAATTGATATGAAACCCATGAAACCACCAAAAAAAATGTAAAGCTAGCTTCCGTACTAGAACATGGTGTCATTCGTCGAGATAATTTATCGTTTTGTTTAATAGATCAAGAAATGTAAATATTCCCCTGTTATTTTTTATAAAATTATAAGAGAAATAATTTTTTTTCTAAATAATATAGTTCATTATTTTGTAGAAAAACAAAATTTCGAAAATTTTAGTAATGTTTCAGAAACAACCGTTATTAATAATAGGTACCATTTTCCTTAATAAGGTAGTAATAAAATATAAATTATTTCCACGATTTACAAAGGCCTACAAAAAAATTATAGTTATTTTCCGCTATCCTATAAAATTTATATTTTCTGACTCAATTTCAAAAGGTTGAAGGAATTCCAAAACACCTTTTATGGCATAATAATTATTTTCAATTCTACATACTATCTTTAGCTGCTTTTAAAAACGTTCTAAGAAAGTCCAATCAGACCAATTTAATCCCTAAACTATTCCACACTTTTAAAATTTAATTACCAAAAAATATTAAAAACTATTTAAAATAACTTGTTTAGCAGACTGTACAATAGCTATCTTAGTCACACGTAGCGCGTTCTCTGTCTGGGCGTCGAACACCTCTAGAAATTTGATGAACTGTAGTTACTATATAAATTCTACTCAGATGTTTTCTTTTATTAGAAGTATTACTTTGAGTTTAAAAGTTTCTTGATGAATCCTTAATTTATAATATATATCGGTACAACGAGAAATAGCGGTACAAAAAACTCAATCGTCCAATCTATTTTGCAGATTTAAACACAACTTTGATATTTTTTTATTAAATTAAAAATATTTTGTAATTCAGCTGGCGACTCAAGAGAAGAAAATCTACAACCAAAATTCGACAATATCTGATTTGGAGAATGCACTGACAATTTCAGAAAATAATCTTCACAATATTGAATCAAATTTCAGGAGCAAGCAGGACGAATTTGATGAAATATGTCAGTAAGTAACATATTAATTGTTATCCTTTCGTTGAGGTTTTATTTTATCGATTTCTAATTTGATTTTGACGTTTGTCTGATTTTGGTGCCGCAAAGGTAGACAATTCCGTACACATTTTGCAGAAATATTATTCCACACATTAATTATTCCACACTGTTTAGGGCACTGAGAAAATTTTCAGTAGTAAAATCCCAAGGATAAAGATAATTCGAAATATTTTTTTTTCACTTAACCGAAAGCACGTTGCTTGGCAAATTCCCGACGCCGCGCCGACTGTACATTCTATTAAAGTCGGTACCATCTTTTTTCTCATATTTACTGCCCAATCCTTTAGTATATCAATATTGTGATGTTTATTTATTTTAAACAACATCTTATTTATTAATAATTTATTTAAACACTTATTTATTTTATAACACTACTATTTCTAATTTATATATATTTCGAATGTCTTTGATTCGTTCACTATTTATATTCACAGTCCAATACTTTATTGTCAGCTGTCTATATATCACGGATTACTATTTATATATATATGATAACTTACAGCGTTATTCTCCACCAATATTTATATACCAATTTAAAATTATGGTGAAGGTTCCTTCAGGTTCTAAAACGTTCTCGCCAAAAATTAGAAACACTATCACGTTATATTTGGAATAGACTAGAAATAGTATCCCGTTGACTCTGGAATGTTCGCGAAAGTACCTCCGCCATAGTCGTCACATAGGTTTGGTCTAAAGGGGTTTAATTATGTATAATAAGTTGAGCCTCAAAGGCCAAATAAGACAGAGAGGGACTTGGAGGGTTAGAGCATGACTGAATAATGGCTCACATAATAATATTTTGATTGTTTTTTAAAACAAATTTGAAAGTGTCAAAGTTTGACTTTTTAGAAATGTCATAGGTATTATTAAACCAGGTTTACATATGGGGGTACACCAGATTAATGTTCGTATTAAATACTTATTAGAGAGATATTGTAAATTTTATAAAGCCAGCCACTAATAGTGACATCGTAATTAGAATCATAGAATCAAATAAATTCCATGCTAAAATCAGACTTATTGCAAACCTGAAATTTTGACATTAGAATCTTCGTCCTTATACAATAAAGCACTCCCACATATTAAAAATGCGGTCGTTATATTAAGGATAACCAAACAATTTAAAATAAGTGTCTTAAGAAAAGTGCATCTTGCACTGTTGGGCACCAATCGTAAGTAATATTTACAAACTTGTTTTTGATTCAGTGTTAAAATAATTGGTTTGTGATTTAAATTTCTTTTTGTTTTCAGTTATTAAATGATCATTGTTGTTGCAAAGAAAATGTTGGCCCTCCAAAATTTGTGAGCCTCAGCCATCAATATCAAAAATTGATTCAATGCCATTGACATCCAACAAGAAAACTTCAAAGGTTCAAACGTGTGTAAGTGTAATTTAAGCTCGAAAGCTAAATTCATTTATCACAGTGCCCAGAGAATTTGATAACTACAAGTGCTATAGAAATAAATCAATAAAACAATTATCGAATGAAGAAATGCTCCTCAACCTAATTAGTCGACTCAATAAGCATTTGGCAAATTGAATCTACACTCAAATTCGCTTTGATAGTAAGACACCCAAAGGATGATGCTTCACCTTCAATTTTTTCAAACTTATTTTCCACTCCAAGTCGCAAAACTGTTATAAAGTTCTTGAGCACTATACATGCTGATTTTGTTACAGAAAACATTTTTGATAGGTTTGTTTTATAAATATTTACTTATTTAAATGGTATAAATACATATTTGTCTATTTCCATGTTTAAATATACAAATTAAATAATGCGGCGTTAATTTCATGTAATAAAAAAATAAATAAAATAAATTGCATTTTATTTCAAGTTTAAAAGTAATGTAAAAATTAAATGAAGTAAAATCGAATAAAAATATAAATTGGCAAAACATTTTAATAGTTTCAAATCATAAAACAGTCAATATAGTTGTTTTATGATTTTTCCAATTTTGTTTTGTTTGATTTTCTTCATTACATTTTTGCCCAGCTAGCAGAAAGCTAAATTTCAAAAAACCCGCCCCTGGCGGCCATATTGAATTTAGTATCACTCCAATTTGATAGATGGCAGCACATTGCCTCAGAATTTTACCATTGAGTTTCCCATTTATTCACTTTCCCCTAATCTATGGCTTAAACTGTGAACCTCGTTGTATAATCTTCAATTATTGTTAAATATAGTTTTAAAAATAACATTTGTACGTTAAATATAACCAGTCAAAAATTAAACTCCTGTTAGCTAAACTGAGATTACAGCATTCTTTGTACAACCCGCCCTTGGCGTTTAATTGAACTTTTACCATCCTGTATAGAATATTACAATGTTAAAATTAGGACTCTACTTAAAAATTTCGCATTAAAATGATATTGTTGCGATTCATATTTATTGATAAAATGATCCTTCCTTTTTTTACGATAGTCCTCAAGAAGACAGTCGACATAACAATCCTTATATAATTATAGACAACTGGAAGCAGAGATGAAACTAAACGAAAAGTTAAAAACCGAAATTAGCTGCCTGAAAAACTCGAACGTGTTATTCCAGAATCGGTCCAAACATTTAGAGGACGAACTAGAATCGTACATATCACACATCGAAGAGCTGAAAGAGGAGAACACTAGCATTAGGATCGGTTTGGAACAGGTCGCTACCGAATTGTCGGTGGAAAAGAAAAGGCCTTGGTATAAAAACACTAAAGAACTAGCTTTATTGTCTTTATCTGCACTACAAAAAATCGCCGAAGTTGTGTTACCAGTTTATCACAAGTATTGAAATTTACAAGCGTTACTCAAAAGTTTTTTCTTGTAAGTGAACACCTATTTACTATTTTTATTGTGTATTTTAAATAAATAAAGATATATTTATTTATAATTTTTTCTTAGTTTATTCGTTTCCAAATTTTGCAACTTTTTGAACTCAAATTATCATTTGTATACCGTCCTAACTACTTACATCAATTGTCATATTTCATTTTTAAGGTTATAGCGATTTTTAAATAAAATTATACAGGGTGAATCCTAAGTTGATACTTTTTTAACTGTGTATAGAAGTCGTTAAACTGAACATCTTTAAAAAACTCAAAAATAAGAAAGATACAGAATTAAAAAACCTAATCCGGGATTGGACTTATGTACAAAAACGAATTTGTTTTTAATCGTTTTTTTGTTTTTCCTATGAATCTGGTTAGGTCAATAGTGTGTTCATTGTTCATCTATTGAGTATAACAAATTTGAAAATGAAGGTCGTTTGTCGTTTATAATAACGCATTACTAATAATGTTATCGAGGAAGATTGCAAATCAGGTGGGAGAAGTCAAAGAAAAGTGTAGGAAAATCAGTTGTATCCCTTTCACGTTCAACTTGAACATTTCCCCCCAAAGTTATTTTGTGAATGGTTCTTACAATGGTATGAATGTAATAAACATTTTTCGACGAAAATTATATAATTATACAGGACCGCATTGAATACGTTTTGTAATAAATTAATGTAAGTTTCTTATTTTTAATGACTTCTATACACAGTATCAACTTAGAATTCACCCTATATATATTCAGATACCTTTTTACCGTTTGGGAAATAAGGACAATGCAGAACGATTAAGTGTTGGAGGTCCATCATTTTAGCAATTAAATAAATGCGAGACTGTGGGTATAAGGAAGTATAAATATGTATATTAAATGGAAGATCGACAAAAAGTCATAATAATGATAAAATAAACACAGATATTTCCTTTATTGGTAACCGAAGTTGTCAAGGAAGGGGGGGTTTAACCTTTGTCATTACCAGGGCTGCCACGTAATGTGTATGGATGACGTATGTGACACGGTGAGGTTAGAAAGATGGTATGCAGTTCATCTCAGTCACTAGATGTACCTTATACTATGTAAACCAAAATAGTAAAAGAAACATTAGCATTCGTCTTCACAAAGAACTCAAAAACATGATTTGTTTTAAAGAAATCATTATGATGTATTTGGAAAAGGAAATTAATGGATATATAGGTAAACTACTAGTAATATTTAATAATGTCTGTTGATAGGATTTCCATATTACAATACTAGTGGGCTATCGTGTCGATGATGGGTGGGATTTTCCTCACCGGTAAGTCAGGCTGCACTATCAGTCATTTGTAAGTAGCCCCGAAGGGCCACAGCAAATAATAGCAGTTTTTCCGCCACTTTACCGCCATAACCAGAGGCTGATAAAGAAACAATTCTAGTTAAAATAAGATAGTTAATCAAGGCACCACTATTATGAATCAAAACTAATGAACCTTTTTGGAACCAGAGCACTTTATAAAGAATTTATTTCATATATTTTGTTATAATAGATGCATCTTTCACTACTCTCAGTTCTCTAAAAAAAAAAAACAAAGAGATAACAACGAGATCCTGGAATTTTCTCTTATCTCCATCTGAAGCTGACCAATGCCTTTCGCAAGCTGCATAGAAGGGTTGCGGACTGTGGAAGCAAACCACGTTAACAAAACTGGCATCCGAGTGTTTTCCGATTGTAAGACGTCAATAGTAAGTATCATTTTCTTTGAAGCAAGAAAACTTACAAAATGCCTCGCTGGCCAGCAAATTAGATACGCGTTGGAATTCGAATTATATCGAAATATTCCGATTAAAATTTTCTCCTGAAGCTATTGAGATATTGTTTGTTTATATGGTGGAATAAATGGTAGAGGATAAAAAACGACATGGTGAAAGTCGGAACGATAGTTTTTCGTGGAATACTATAGTGTGGTTAGTGGTTCAGGTACGTTTCAATTCTTACTACAAAAATTAAAAGTTTTTAGCATGAATAAAAAGTATATAATGTGTTTACTTGAGTTGAATCCTTATGAAAAACATTTTTATTATCAGTTTTACGAAAAAAATGTATATTTATAAAAAGTTGTGCACATGGTCTAAAATCTATAATAAAAATATCAGATATGAAAATGTATCAGTCATATACGGTTACAAATTATAAATTTTTGTGTGAAAAGATCGATTAATGTTAGGAATTAAAAACTACATTTTAATGTGCACTCACGGCTATTTTAACCACAAGTTCCGTTATTTTACAAAGTTACTCTGTAGTACACTATAATTCATCATGTAGACAATTTAAATTAGGCCCGTTGTTTTAGTTAAGATTTTCAACAGTTTCCTGAATTTGGAAAAATCACTTATCTGAAATTTTTTTTTCGGTATACTGTCAAAAATAAAAGTAGTATTCTTGCATCAAATTTATATTTTGTGACACACCCTTTATATGTCTGGTATTTTCAATATGGGTTTTAGACTAAGCAGATCTTATTACAAGCTTTTTTTGTATCATTTAGTAAACAGTAAACACCGAATGTAACATTATGAGCAGAATATTGATGCTAACTTTGCAGGTGTAAACGGTTACATCACCAAAAGACATGCTACATAATATGACGACACTTGAATTCCCGTCAAGTACAATATTAACCATAATCCGTACCTAGAATTCCCGCCAAGCAGTTAAAGCTTGAGATAAACCACTACTCGAGTGTTCCCGTAAGGTAGGTACTTAACTGAAATACATTCGAAATAACTTAACGTAAATTATTTCCCAAATTGCCAAAATCTTCTGCAGACGTTCAAAATACTTTGACTCTATTAGATATAAAAACAATTAAGGACGAACAATTTTTATTGGTCAACGATCCCACCGAAGAATTGTTTTTACTTGTAAGAGCAACATAGAATTTATGTGGGCTCAAACAAAATTTTATATGGATAATTGTTTTTTAAATATCCATTTTTACTTTCGCCTCAATTATACGAGTCCTCAATTATACATAGGAAGGGAGAAGTGAGCACCCTTCGTACACGGGGCACGTTCGTACAACAGCGCCACTCTCAAATATCGCGCGCAATCGCGAGTAGCTGGTTCTTACAGTCAACGATCAGTCGACGACTAGTAAAGTAGGAGCATTGATTGTGTTTCAGCGGTGCATGAGTAACTTCGATTGAGTAGTTTACAAGTCCCATAAATCTTAAAATTTATTTGTGATCAAGACGAAATATTTTTTTTGGGTAAGTGAATACTGTCTTTAATATGGTATAATATCAAATTTGCATGTATTTATAACAAGTTTTTTTGTAGAAAATTAGAAAACAATCGGTTTGTTTTGGGGCAGATTCATACACATTCATAAGGGGTAGATTCGTACGTGTACGAATCTACCCCTTTTATGTTAATACATTTCCAATTTTTTTTAGGGTACAAGAAATAGTGGATGAAGAGTCAGTGTCCTTTAAGGGAAGGCCAGTTATCTTACAGGAAAACAGCAGATAAATAATATTAAGGTAACAACCCTACAAAGTCGCATAAAAAAAATTAGAAGTAAACTTGATGTAGATGAAAATACACAACGCACCTTCAATTCAAAATATACATCAACACAAGTATTTCCCAAAGAAGAGGAATCTCTTTTAAATGAATATATTGTGATATGCTCAAAAAGCATTATGGATTAACATTAACACAAGTCAGGAAATTGGCTTACGAGTTTGCAACAGCCAACAATATTGCACATCTATCAAGTTAGGATCAGAATGAGATGACGGGGAAAGATTGGGTGCATGGTTTTCGGAAACGCAATGAAAATTTAAGTTTAAGAAAGCCAGAGAACACGGGTGCTGCCAGGTCCTTTGGTTTTAATAAAAACGCTGTGGACGAATTCTACAAAAATCTAGAATTACTTTATAATAGATATAAATTTTCTTCAGATAGGATTTTCATTTTGACGAGTCCGGAATATCGACCGTACTAAATACACCTAAAATTTTGGCAGAAAAAACGCAAAAACAAGTGGGCTAATTAGTTTCTGCCGAGAGAGGAGAACTTCTTACATTTGGAGCTATTATATCAGAAAGTGGAAACGCAATCCTGGTAAAACGCTTAATATATACAATATTCCAAAACTAGCGAAAATAGCTTATTTTGAATCATTCACAGCTAAAAATATCTTGAGTGGATTTAGTAAGCCTGGGATCTGGCCATTCAATACACTGGCGTTTATTGATGAAGAAATTTCCACAGTTCAAGTCTATCAGTCTGCTGAATCTACTTCAGATACCAAAGATATTTCTCTCACTGTGGATCAGACCACTGATATTTCCATTCAAGATGTCCCTCAAACACCAATAAATTGCCTAGAAACCTACAACTAGCCAAAGCCTCTACCTCTGAGTTAATAACTCCATATCATAAAATTGAAAAGAAGTTTCAAACAAAGAAGGGAAGGCAGCCGGGAAAGTCTCGCATATACACCGACACCTGAAAACGACAGAATAGAGGAAACTATAGAAAAATAAGTATAATGAATAAAAATCAATAATAAAATATAGGCAGGCAATAGTATTTACAGGAAAATGTATGAGAAGTTGCCTAAGTCTAATAAGTTGTCTTTAAAGAATTAAACTATTCTGTCAAAATAAAAAAATACCATTAAATAATAGCATGAAGTTAAAATGTATAAACAGAAGGATTGTTATTTATATTTTCATTTTTGTTCGAAAGAAAACAGAATGAATGATTAAAAATGGTTTCCCATCAGTAAGTCACAAAATTGCATTCCAGCCACATACAATAATCAAAGGCAGAAATCTAGTTCTTGCTGAACATTTAAGATTAAAATGATAATTTATTGTTTATTTAAAACCTACAAGTTTCTGATGTTTACAATTTCCAGTATTACTGTTATTATTACAAAAATATAGGTAATTTTTCTTATTATTATACACCTTTCCATTTATTTCTTTGATTTAATTTCCAATTTGCTACTGAAAATTTTTATAATTTACACTGTTTTTTTTTGCTAGAATTTTTACAATTTTCAACACAGCAACTCCGGTTGCTTATTGTATTGTTTTTACCTAGTTTTTTGAAAATAAAGTAAAATTTATACGTGTATTTAATATGCCAAAATTACAAAATATCGCCCTAAAATGCACGAATTTACCGCAGCTAACGCTAGTATTACTTTTGCTTCCCCTACCATGACTCTGCACTAAGCGAATAGAAAAATACTTCAATTTGGCCTATCAAAAGAATATTGAAACCCTGTCTTTGAGATAGAAAATTGGTTACACTATACATTTTTGCATCCAGATGAAGTAGAAGATGCATTTGCTTCTGATTTTGCAGAAGATATGCCTCAAAATGAAAAAGTGGTTCAATTCGCGGACTATTTAACGTAGTATTATATAAGTCAAGACTCAAGCTTTTCTCTTAATATTTTGGCACAATGTTCTGCAGACATTACTAGAACTACGAACTGTTGTGAAAGCTTTCATTCGAAATTTAAAAATTATTGTGTGGCTTGTCACCTAAATATACACGTGTTTCTTGAGGCGTTGAAAAGAATCCAAACATGTACTTATATTAAAATAAATAGTAACAATAAAAAGAAAAACGTTTAATCAAAGAAGACATTCTAAAAAGCCAAAATTTCATTACTGCCAAAATTTCATTACTGCCAAAATTTCATTACTGCCAAAATTTCATAATATCAGTGCAAAGATATTAGCTGCTATGATTTTTTAAAATGTGTGGCATATAAATTTAGTGTATATACAATTAAATAAATGTGATGAAACTTAAAATTATGTAGTTTTAATTATTACTGACCGCTAACGGGAATTCGAGTTAAGGATAAATTTGAATCCTGACGGGAACTCGTGTGCAGAACTAAGAGACAAAAGTTGAAACGCAGATAAAAGGTTTTATGCTGACGGGAACTCGTGCCGCCCGCATAATATAGAGCTACGTCAAACAAAATCATTGGTCCGATCCTAGACAAGGAGTGACTTTACAAATAGCTTCACCTACTTCTCCGAAAGTAGCTTTGAAACAACATTTTTTAAAAATTAATTCCTTTTTTATCACTCTTACGGCAGTAGTCAATACATATTTTAATGAGATAAATATATTTAATTTCAAACTGCAAACATTTAAATAAAGACTATTGTAACTTTAAAAATTCTTCTCGACCTTCTATAAGACATTCCAGAAATTATCATCTACGAATAGAAATATCAATCTCACATCTTTTCATTTAAAGTTTTCCATGTGGCTCCAACTTAAGTAGATAATATACTGTGTATTTTATGCCAATGATTTGAAATTAAGTAGGTACCTAGTTATTAAATCTGGTAATTATTTTAAAAAAGTTGCATAATTTGAAATTACAATGTTCGCGCTTAAATATTTGAATTTTATTAATTGATTTGCTTCACATAAATTTATTAATTCTATAAATTAAATTCTAAGTGTTATCCTCCAACAAATACCATTTAAAAATATATATTAAAAAAAGTTTATTTTTGATTAATTCTTCTCGCCTTATTGATATTGATAAACAAATGATTAATTCAAATACTCTATCTGGAAGCTTGTAACCTATAAGGTTGAAAAATACATGGAAAGCAGAGTCAATAAATCTAATTAAACGTTTAATTAGTAAAAAAATACACGTCCACATCAAATCACGATTTGTTAAATTATCATCTGACAAAATACCGGGACTTAAACAAATTTCTAATAAAGTATTTTGAGAATAAACCGATGAAAAAAGCAAATAAATAAATTTGGGTAAGTCCGTCTGCTGTAGAAATTTTTAAACTGTGATTACCGCTTTTTAAATGACCTAAAAACTATTGCAAACTGTTTTACTTGTCCTCGGAAGTAAGACGGTTTGCATTCTAGTTATCTCACTAATATTTGACCCTGGATTTTAAACACAACAGCGTTATGGCAGGAATAAATAGAGAGGACGAATAAATCTTAAGAGCGCTGTAGTAGGTGAAAATTATAAGGATTACAAAAGGAAGCGAAGATGAAATTTATCATAAAATGGGTAAAAGTTTGTTGAATTAGAATTGACTTTGGTGAGATGTGCTTAAAAATATTATTGTATATAAAAATAAAAAAATAAACACCACAAATTTAAATTAGGATAACATTTAAAATTCACACTACGCTGTATAAATAGAAAATTTATTTTATTTTTCAGTTCAATAATTTATCATATACAGGATCGTTTCAAAATAGAATTAAATCTAGCATAACTATTATTTTTAGACTTTCTATCGATACTGTATATTTTTGTGCTTTTCTTTTATATATAAAACAAACTGGGTAGTCAATTTAATATATTTTCATAAAATTTCTTTTAAGTAAACATCAAACGCAAAAAACAAATTTATGAACATTAAACTTCTAAAGATTAAATAAAAACCTTAAAGCTACTATTACTGTAGAAAAATGAAAAAGAATACTTGTTCTTACGTGGAAAATTCACATTAAAATAAATACTGAAAGCGTAAATAAATCACAGTTGTGGTCAAACCATTCCGAAACCTTCGGTTCCCTCGCTTATCGCCAATAAAAGGGATTTTTCGAAATGCTCGTAGCAGTCGTAGTCGGGCAAACAAAGTTGGTTGAAACTGAAAAAAAAAAAGCGATTAAACAAATGAAAATTTAATAATTTTATTATGCAACAATGTAGTGGTACTTTCATTTATGAGTGGAAAAACGAATCAATGTGAAAAAGATGATGCCAAATTTAACAAAAAAATCTCGATAAAAAGTCACTTGGAAATCTATGATAAAGCATAAAATTTTAAAATATCTACTTGGTAGGTATACACGGCAAATCAAAAATTAATTACAATGAAGGGTAAAGTATTTGTGAATTTGAATCTACATTATTTTCCATTTGTTATATTTTTGGGACACACTGTAAATAATTTAAATGTACACTATTATTATGATTTCATAAACCAATGGAGATACAAGGAAAATATTTGCCAAATTATAAGGCCCCTTGTTCGCTCACTGAATTTTTTTAAGTTCAAGATGTGCCCTGTCCTGTGAAGTGGGCGCCGTGGGCGGACAGAATGGCTTCACCCGGATATTTACCATCGGAGTAGTAAAAGCCACTTTCAAAAACGGGACATCTGAAGACACCTCTCGGCGACGTTATTAACCTACAGGACTTTGACCAGCAGGTTTTTGATGAGTTGATAACCTTTAGGGCTGGGAAGATGGCTGTCTCTAGATACCTCTCGGCGACAAACAGCAGGTTTTGACAAGTTGAGAGGCTGGTCCTTTATGCCCCTGGAATATACACAATGGGCATAATGAGACCTAGATGCTGCTAATTAATCCACCCTACAGATACAGAGATATCGAGTCCAGTTTCCAAGATTTTGGATGTGCTATGCGTTTATTATCAATGTTTTTTATTATTTGACTATAAACAGAGCTTACGTTTCTGTATCTATATTTTCGTGTCTGAGTTTTTTATACGAACTTGTATATTTCATAATTTTTTTGAAAGTACTGTCGCGCAAGCCAACCCTGTGCTTTGTTTACGCCTTGCCCGCGGCATGGAGTCTAGCGCTGGCCATATAGAGACAAACGCAATGCTTCGAGAAGCTACCAGAAAAAACAGTACGTGGCCGTTGAGCGATAGAGATGGAATTTTCGAGATCGTCTAGAAAGTACTAGTACAGAGCTGACTTTATATAAATAGCGCGAGTTGTCGACGGACGGACAGATTGAATTTAAGTGTTGGATAGAAAAGATAAATTGTAATAAATAAATTAGAATTTTGAATTATAATAGTGCCTAAGTATTATATAAATGAATTAGTTCGTTGTAAATAAATTGTAAATAAAGTTTCTTAAATAAACTATAAACAAATTAAAAAACGTTACATTAGTATTAGAAGTGGAACTGTAAATAAATAGTGTACAAAAATGGCTAAAAAACAGTATGATTTAAAAGTAGCTGAATTGCGTCGAGAATTAGAGGACCGTGATCTGGAAATGACAGGGAAGGAAGTAGAGTTGACTGAGCGGCTTAAAGAAGCAATGGAAAGCGAAGGTTTGGATCCCGAAACATTTCTATTTTTGGATGATGCGTCTTCTATAATTTCTTCGTTAGAAAGTCAATTGTCAACTGTGAAAACCGATATTTCTTAAGTTTTTTCAGATGTTTATTCCATAAAAAATGATATTTAGAGAAGATATGGTGATGGGATATTAGCCAAACCGAATGTGAGGCACAAAGCTAGAATCATAGCGATAGCGGGGATATCGTAGTTGCTACATGTTCGCTGTAAAAACACGGCTATGCCTAATACAAAATAAGTACTGTATATTAAGAAGCACGAAGAACTTTATTAACGAAAACATCGAGAAATATTCAGAAATGCGAAAAATAATATTATTAAAAATTTCAAGAAATAAGGAGATATCCACAAAAATGTTTCAAAAGTAGGCTTTGGAAAAATTTACGTATGTCAAAAGTAAAATCCTTTTTAAGTATCAGTTTACATTAGTTCAGAGCCGTGTTTAGATATCACAAATTTGACTTGAATCTTCGTCTTTGTCAGTCAGGGCCTACTTTAAAAACATTTTTGTGGATCATTCCTTATATACATGGTTGGACAAAATGGGCGATTCACTTGATTTCTGACTTTATTCGAGGTCGGGTCGGTGGTGTAGCAGTCTAGCGCGCTTATATTCATTTATAGGCAAGTTTATGGTCAGAGACTGGCGGGCTTCGAATCTCAGACCAGACCATGTGGATTTTTAATTAAATTGCATGGTTCTGTATAGGATTTGATGTGTGTCGTATTAATAGAAATTCAATTTCTGTTGATATGACATGCAGATTATAAAATCGCCATGCATTACCGTCTCGATGATGGTGGGTGAGGTTTTCCTCACCTGTAAGTCAAATGGCACCATCAATCATCTTTAAGTCGCCCCGGAGCGCCACGGCAAATAATAATAATAGCCGTCCCTTTCCCCGCACAAGCTCAGCTTTTGGGGTTAAAATTCACTCGTAAGGGATGAATTAGGGAGAGTATTATTATTATTATTATTATTATTATTTTTATTAATATTATTATTTTTATTAATATTATTATTTTTATTAATATTATTATTTTTATTAATATTATTATTATTATTATTGTTCGACAAATAAAAAATAAAAAGGTCTCACAGGTCGATTTTGACGTACTTATATATTTTAAGACGTCATCAGCACTCTAGATATGACGTAATTACGTTTTTTAATGTCACCATCATTTTTTGAGAGTAATAATAAAAAAAATCGGTTAATAAATGCTAATAACCAATTTTTATTTTCATTAAAAAACTGGTGCCGACGTCATAACTCGGATATATAGTGAGGACGTCACAACTAGATTAGTAATGAAGTCATAAAAAATATACGTTCTTCAAACTAACAGTATCTTAAAAACCAAACCGATTGATAGGTTTTTGCTGCTTATCCAATAAAGCCATAAGGATAGCGTTCGGTTCATTTTGCCCAACTCTGTATACAGGGTGGACCGGATTTAATTTGCGTATACAGAGATCTCGTAAACCGTAAGATATACATTGTCGTTTAAATGGGGAAAGAGTTTCGTATTTTGACGGATAATACAATGGTCCATAGAAGTTCCAGATTTTCTGACTGGTTCCGGAGATATTCGATAAAAGATACAAAAGATACAAAAAAATTACACGAAGTTTTTGTTATAAATCAAGTTCCCTATAATCTGCCATGTCAAAATTTGTATTACGACGTTTCGTATTTGCAGGGCCACCTTCAACTTATTTTTTTAAATACGGACCTGGATTTTTAACTGTAATTTTTTATAGCTTTTGTATAGCTAAATACAACGATATATTACACTTAACCATTTTACTACGTTTTGTCTATGAAAATATCATCAGCTATGCAGCTTCTGATGATACCGTTTCTTACTTGATTAAAACAAGCTATTTAAATAATAATTAAAAAAACAAAAAATGCTTAAAATGTGAAATTTTAAATATTTGAAATATAATACAAGAATTATTTAATTACAAAATGGGTTACAATTTTTTATCAAACATGATTAAGTACAACCAGAAAACAAGACTAATGAAGAACGAATTATGGTTGTACACATTCTACAAATAATAAAGCTAATAACAAAAACATAAAATGAAAAACAAAACGGTCAAGCCATCTATAAATTCCTATCACCTGATTTTCTGTAAAATTTTTCGCTTAGGTTTCTCACACCGTATTTTTTCTATCTTTAATGTTTTCATTTTTGCATACATAAGATCTTAACAAAATCATGTTTGCCATGCATATCAGTTGTAACGTGCCACCAATATTTCTGTTATAATCTGTAACATCTAATATTACAGTACTTTTTTAGCTTTAAATAATTTAAAATTAAATAAATATTATGGTTCGTTATACTGAAGAAGAGAAGAAAGATATATATGATGTGTACATAAGATGCTATAGGAATGAAACCCGGTCAGCTCAGACTTATTTAGATTTATATCGTGATAGACAACAGCCATCTAAGATGATGTTTTAATATTTTTAAAAATATGGCAGAGCATAGCAGTGTGAAAAAAAAAGGAGAACTAGATATCAGGTTCGACATAATGATAATGAAATTAATGTTCTTGCCCAAATACATATTAACTCTGAAAATTCTACTAGGCGAATAGCTAAAGAATGTGTAGTAGGAACCTCCACGGTTAAAAGAATTTTAAACATAAATAACACGGGTATAAATTTCAAAAAGTCCAGAAATTACACGCTGGAGACTCTGATAGAAGACTGACTGTTTTGTCATTCGTTTATGCCACGATAATGTTTAATGTTTATTTTAGCCAGAAAAAATTACAGATTTTTACAATATTTAGACTAATTAGAATATTTAATTTACATCAAAAGTAAAAAACAATTCCATTGGTAAAATGATAAAACATACTACCAAAATTATCACGTCACTTTTTCTTGTATTTATATTTGATAGTTTAGAGAATTTGTAAATTATTTATGCGTTTGAGAATATATTTGGTAAGTTTTTTCACTAAAATAGAAAACTATTTTCTAATTCATTGTCTGTTGTTTTAGTTTTGTCTGGTGTAAAATTATTATTTCATTTTCCAACTACAATAAAAAAAAATGGCGGATAAATGATTATAAAAGAGATTTTACAAAACTAACTTCTTGGTAATATAAAGTGGCCATATTTATTTTGATCCAATGATTGACACTGAACACGAAAAATACAAACATATTTTGTCATTTGAACTTTTTATTTTCAAAGTTTTATCATTCGAATTTTTATAGTTCAAACTTTTCTTATTTGAACTTATATTACTAACTCAAATCTACCAGCTATTAATAATGTATGATTCAACTAAAAGCATACGAAATTTTTACATTGTATTGTAAACATACTATTTAAACTTACCATGTATGCGCGGTGGGTAAATTCCCGAACGTGGGAGCGGCGGTAATCTGAAATCTCGGCGTCAGCTCCCTAAACCCGCCGGGAGGTAGCTGAGAACATCCCGTCGTGAACTGCAATAACCTGGCCATTTCTTCTTGGGTGAAATTGCCCACCGCCGCCCAAAACCAGCCGACGATCCTGCGGAATTCCGTCGAATTCCCGTTGACGACGTGGTGCGCTTTGAAATCGGCGATGCTGTACTGGCCAGTACCGCAGAGTAACAGCTGAAAGGCCGATTGTAACAAATATTTTCAATCAAAGGGGTTATCTGGCGTTTGGCGAAATTATAGTTATTTATATAAATAATACGGAACAAAGAAATTGAAATGAAAATTTGTTGTTTGTTTTTCGTAATTTACTCATTACACCCCAAATAGTCCGTAAAACAGACGTTTTTTAATTGTATTAAACTGAAAAACAAGCGAATTGAATGGACCAGTAAATAATGTCCAGCGCGTTCACCGAATCTACGGTTAATAGACTTTTTCTTATGAGTTAATTTGAAGAGTATTGTTTACAGAATTTGGAGAGAACAATAATTAGATAACTATTTTGAATTGTACAAGATGTGCCATTAAGAATGGGACATAGAAAAACTTAAGATTCTTTAATTCAAAAGGAGAAGACTACACAAAACATGCTTGGGTAAAATCGAAGTTCGGTTAAAACTTCTCCCGAGTTCCAGGTGGTTCCAGCTAGTGTTGCATTGGAATTTAGAGATGGACAATAGCAAATCCGTAACTGTTAAGTACATTTACATATTTGTTACTTCCCTTCTCTAGTCGGACTCTTTGTAATTAGGGCTATTTAATCTTAAATGTTGGTAAAATAATATCAATTGAACTGAAAACGGTTACATTAATTCGAAAATTTGAAAAAGCCCTAGATAATAGGTGAAATACCCCTTTTCTCTATTGCACCAAAAAATCCCCAGAACTAGAGAAAATGTCCCTAGGTTGGCATCACTGAGCCCACTATCCAACACTATTTTGACTCAATTTTTTTATTTCATTTAGGCCCTTAAAATGTGAAAATCCAAAACCCTGAAAGACGTCATTATTTATTTATGCTTGGTAGCTGTAATTTAAATTTTCATGTTTCTATCTTTAAAGAACAAAGAGTTTCATTAAAAGCTCCCTCCCCCCATTTCATCCCATTTCCCCCCTTTAAAGTTAAAATTTCCAAAAATTATTTCTTAGCGGATGCTTACGTTATAAAATAAACCTATGTTCCAAATTTCAGCTTTCTAGGCTCAGTAGTTTTAGCTGTACGTTGCTAGGTCAGTCAGTCAGTCAGGACAAACAATTTTATATACACTGCACCGCAAAATTAACCGGACACTAAGTGTATTTTAAATAAAATTAAAAAGTATTGATTAGAAAATCTTAAATTCCAATAAATTTTTTTTTGTATATTCAATAACAAACCCTAAAATAAAAAACAAGTTCCAAAATATTGATTAATTTAACAACAAATAAAAATTTATAAAAATTTTGTATTCTGGAGTACACAATTTTTCTGATTGAAATCATTAATTCTAAGATTTGGATATCAAAATCGAATATTTCCTCCTCGAGCTCGAATAACAGCTCTCATCCTTTCTGGCATAGACTGGACCAAAGCAGCAATTTTGTTTTGCGGTTTTGTTCCCACTTATTTACCAGCGCCTGTTCTAACGCTACCACCGTTTCAAACTCGCCATAATTTTGTCTAAGTCTTCTTCCTAAGTTGTCCCACAAATGCTCTGTGGGATTAAGGTTTGGGCTTCTAGGAGGCCAGGCTAGTATCTGAATACCAACATCTGTAAAATATTGCATAGTTACCCTGGCTATGTGCGGCCGAGCATTATCTTACATTAGAAAAAAATGTTTACCTACAAAATGCATATAAGGTACCACATGTTCTTCTAGACATTCCCTAATGTAACTATCAGCATTAAGGCCAGCTCCCCCTAACATAACAAGATCTGTATGTGCTTCCAAAGAAATGCCGCCCCATACCATTGCACCTCCACCACCAAACTGTACTCTAGGAGAGAAACAAAATTGGACATAGCGTTCTCCAGGCCTCCTCCATACTCTTTGGCGACCATCAGGTGAGTATCTCGTAAAACGAGACTCATCTGTAAAAATAACGTTTCGCCAATCTTCTATATCCCAATCTGCATGAGCACGAGAGAATTCTAAGGTTGTCTTCGATGAGCTGCATCCAGTAAAGGGCCTGTGTCAGGTACACAAGACGATAAATTTTGTTCGCTTAATCTTCCGAGTACAGTATTAGGTGAAACTAAGGTTCCATGAACATCTGCCAGTCTCCTGATCAAAGCTGTAGCAGTAACTGTCCGCTCTCGAAGCACTTGAAGTTTGTTACCCTTGGTCTTCCCTGTCCAGGTCTTCTAGAGTAAGAACCAGTTTCTCTAAATCTTCGTAAAGCAATATATAACGAATGGAACGACCATCATTATGTAAGGCAACAGCTTGCGCTACTTGATCTGGCCTCATTTTAAATTATTCTTGATAAAATCACTTTTCTTTCCCGAAAAAGCAGCCAACCACACACCAAAAAGGCATACAATTAATTTAAAAAGCATTATTTTGTAAGTAAATATTCGATTATCGAGAACACCTTAACAAAAACTTTCTTTTCAGCCACAAAAAATGACAAACTTTTAAAAAACGAATGGATAAAGGTAACTTATATTTTTATAAATATATTTAATTATTATACAGGGCAATTCAACAAAACTAAAAGGAGAAAACTTTAAAATTTCACGTGTCCGGTTAATTTTGCGGTGCAGTGTATATAGATGTGTAAATTTATTCCAGAAATGTTTAAGAATTCAGCCTTTTAACTACTAAAATAAAATACACTTTTATTTGACGTCATTAACAAAACAAAAATTAATTAAAACCCTTCATAAGGGTCTTACTAATCATAGAGGCATAAACGTAACTATAACATTATGATCAAATTACCCTAACCCCATAAACTCTTAAATTAACCAGACTTCGATAACGTCACACTAGTAAGGTCAGTTTGTACGATAAAATCATGAAAATAAAAAAACGATAATTTCTACAGGATGGTACAACAATTTGATTTTGGTCATCTGGCAACACTGGTGATTGAACATTCGTGTAGGAGCACTCTCCTGAGTTTGAGAATAGGGTATCTGGAGAATTTAGGTTATTTCATCATTCGCCCAAATAATTCCAATTATACTGTCATAACCGAATGACGATTATTTGAATAATCAGATTATCGATTATTTTTAATTCGAATTATCCCATCGCTAGTTACAGGTACAAATACAAGTATAAATAAGATTAAAAATCAATTTTTAATTCATTAATTCAATATGAGGAGAAAAAGGGAGATCAAGTAAAAAATAGATACAACAAATAGGAGAGGCGGGAAGAATAAAACACACAACACAGGAGGTGGAAATAAAAGTCTAAACAAAATTAGCAGACGGTATTGAAGGTCAGAAGCGCCTGCCAGACGACTCTGAAGATGCTCTGTGAAAGCTTTGTAAATAATCTTGTTTGTTTAACAGTTTCAAGCAAGATCGTACATCTAATGGCTCTTTTTATAAAAGCTACTATCATAACTTTCTTCAATTTCTTTGTACCATGTGCAAAGCAAAAAATCCGCCTACTTACTTCTAGTTCATTCTCATCGAAAATACTGAGCAGATTGTCGGGAATTAGCTCGTTCAAGCCCCTCAGGAAGGCCTCCATTTCGTCCTTTATACTAGTAGCTAACCTATACTGGGCTAAAGCGTCCAAATATTGCAACTTTGTACTATTAGCGACTCTGATTCTAGAACCGTTCGGAATCAGTTCGACGTTCTTGACTAGTTGGCCGTTGGTGTCGTATTGCTCTTCTACGAAAAACAATTCCGTTTCTATTTCGTCGATGTTATTTTCTAAAAGGTATTTTATCTTGGACAGGTACAGGTCCGGGTCGTCTTGTTCAAAGTACTGGAAAATTTGAGAAAAATATACATAGGTACAAATAGATGGTAACAATTAATTTAAACGGTATGCATTTACAAAGTTGACTATATTATCAAGCAAAATGTATGTTGTTTTAAAATGAATGTATTTGTTCTTTCTAAATTAAAATATTAGGTCCGGTTTTAGAGATATTTGGGCCAGACCGCAATTGGCTATTTTATTTATTCAATTAACATTTGTTTTTAAAGAGAACAAACTTTTTCCTCGAAGTTTAAATACCGCTTAACATAGCAAAGCCAAGTTTTTAAAAAGAAGTTTCGGTTCTAAATGGCCTCAACTATTTTTTAACTATAGAACTGCATTTTTATCTCATTTTTAAAATTTAAGTTTTTCTGTATCAAAGCATGTATCAACACTAATTTTTCTACGATTTGACACTGAACAGAGCTTCTGAAATTTTTGTAAATACGGCCCTGTTCATTTTCACCCTGAACTTAGCTTTTGAATAAAGTTTGGATAGTATCATAAGAAAAGGGTTCTTGATGAACTGACCTCGTTATAGGTCCAAATTAATACATTATCAATTTATAATAATAATTTAATAAATTACAGAAACTATAAATAACAAACATATTTATTTAATTTACTAAGTTACCCAAGTAATATTTATACGAATTTACGCTGGAATTATTTGTAATTCAAATAAATTTATATAAATTGAAATAAATTGAAATAAATTGAAATAAATTGAAATAAATTGAAATAAATTGAAATAAATTGAAATAAATTGAAATAAATTGAAATAAATTGAAATAAATTGAAATAAATTGAAATAAATTGAAATAAATTAAAATAAATTCAAATAAATTCAAATAAATTCAAATAAATTCAAATAAATTCAAATAAATTCAAATAAATTCAAATAAATTCAAATAAATTCAAATAAATTCAAATAAATTCAAATAAATTCAAATAAATTCAAATAAATTCAAATAAATTCAAATAAATTCAAATAAATTCAAATAAATTCAAATAAATTCAAATAAATTCAAATAAATTCAAATAAATTCAAATAAATTCAAATAAATTCAAATAAATTCAAATAAATTCAAATAAATTCAAATAAATTCAAATAAATTCAAATAAATTCAAATAAATTCAAATAAATTCAAATAAATTCAAATAAATTCAAATAAATTCAAATAAATTCAAATAAATTCAAATAAATTCAAATAAATTCAAATAAATTCAAATAAATTCAAATAAATTCAAATAAATTCAAATAAATTCAAATAAATTCAAATAAATTCAACTAAATTCAATTAAATTATTTATTTCAGAGTTAATTCTTCTAAGAAGTAACACTTCTATTGTGCGTTCGATAACACACACATATTTTATCTATCAATAAATTAGGTTTTTTTAATTTCTTTTACTCAAAAAGAGCAATAAATATTTAGAGGCACAAGTGGAACAGGACCGTACTTACAAACATTCCTAAAATATTAGTTTATTATCAAATCGTAATAAAAACTTTGGCAGATGTTTAGACTGTTAGGAGTTTGAAGTTCATGTCATTCCAATAGATCACATTATTAAGCTCTGTCAAAGTTTATCTGACTCATACATGTTAATGAACGTTCTTGCAACCGCCTGATAGTGTGATAGATGGTTGTACAGAAAAAAATAAAACATTTAAAAAATTAAATAAAAAGTAAGATCTGTACTTAAAAATAAAAATAGTTGAGGGAGGCGCTTTAAAAACGAAGCGTCGGACGTCTTGAAATGTGGCCAAGCTTAGTAAATTTTTTCTAATTCAAAATAAAGGTATGAATGAGGCAAAAAATGTTGTTCCTTCAGGCTCTTTTTACTTTCGAGGCAGTTTAAGCTTCTAAAACACTTCCTATATTTTATTTGTGAAAGAACGATCTCTATATAATCAAAATAAAAATTAATAACTTTATTTATGACTACAAGCATAAAAAACGAATGACATTCAAATAATAGCAGATATGGTAATTTTAGAAATCCCATAAAGCTCTTATATTTTTTATTAAAACAAAAACACCCTCGTCGTTTCCTTTAGGATTAGAAAGTCCATTATCTGCGAGTATATCAAGAGTAGTGAGATGAAGTACTGAGACTGCAGAGTGTAGACATAATCAGTAATACAATGGTGTTACAGGTGTTAATTAAATTAAACGATTTTGTTCAAATAGTATGGAAACAGGAGCTGATATTTTAATTTTAAATAATCTAATATATTATTTTTAAAAATACGCCTCCTTTTTTTATTTAACCCAACTTTGTATGTATAACAGTTAATGAAATCCCTTGTACGCAATTAAATCTTAGAAATTAAATTGACTTTTGGCTGATGGAACAGGACTTGATGACATTTCATTTAATTCCAGTAATTAATTAGGGCTAAAAGTAAACTATGAAATACATAGGTTTCTTACCTTATAATGAACCCGAAGTCCGATAACTTGCGCTAAAAAAGAGCGAGTAAATCTAGCTCTAACCAACTGCCTGTAAGAACCACCGAGAGCGCTTTCGTAGAGGCACTTTCCCACGACTTTGCCAGCAAATTCGTAATGTTTCAACTTCAAATGCGCATTTCTGGCTGGATTTGGATGCACGAGCGACTGTTGCCCTTCGTGAAAGCTAGCAAACAGACTGTTTTTGGCGTCGAATAACTGCTCGCATATCAACTCGAACCATTCTCTTCGAAGCCCACCCCAGTCTATGCCTTGCTCTCCCTGGAAGTTAACCTCAAAATTTCTACACCAATCCGACACGGAGAAATTCTTCGTCGCCTTCATGCTGGACTCCAACAGCTTCTCTCTGGTGACTTTCATCGACAGTTTTTCGTGGTAGTGCTTTTGATGGAACTTTCTGACTTCGTGATAGAAAAAGTCCTGTTTGTCTTTGAACGTCTCCGAGCCGCCCATGTTTTTCAAAAGGAATTGCGCGAACGTGGCGGCTATCACGTTTCTGTCTTTGGAGACGAGTTCGATTTTCGGTTGACAACCGTCGTCTACCGTAAAGGAACTACAGTAAAATTCGCTGAATTTGAGAGTATCGGCATGGAAATTAAACTGTAAAAGAAAGAGAAGTAAATATAGGTAAAAATAAGGAAGCATAAATTAATGATGGATCATGTTTTGTTTATAATACCTACTCATATCTATAAGGATTGCCGCATTAAAAATGGCAATATGAATGCAATGCAGCATTTTTCGCTACCCTGTGTGTATATGATCAGAAAAAACAAAATAATGTAATAGATTCCCTTTTATCACCCTATAATTTAATAATTATACATTCATTCGTTTCAAAGAAAATACCTTGTCACTAGACTTTTCGCTACCCCATATAAAGTCAAAGAACTGCTTCCCGCACAATACTATATCTTCTTCAAATCATACCTAATGATATACAATTTAGAACAACAGTTATAACGTTGAAGTCTCTAATCTTCGTCCAATCAAGGCTGGTGTACCACAAGGTAGGGTGCTTGGCCTTTATTTGTACCTTATTTATACATATAATCATCCTGTAATGAATAGTACAATGATAGGGACTTTCGCAGATAACAATGTCAAAATTGCTAAAAGAGTAAATTAGCAAATGGCATCAAATACCTTGCAAGATCGCCTCCGTCTTCATCAAGACTGGATAATTAAGTAAAATAAACTTTTACATTAAAGAAAGAGAAATGTCCACCAGTATTTATAAACAATATACAAATGAATTTATAAGTATATTTATTAAGTTTACTTTTAGAATAAAACATACTTCTAAAATTTTTATACATAAATATTTTTTATTACCTGATTATCGAAACAGAATAATCAATAAAGAAACAGCTTGGATAGTACAAAGAAGCAAAAGAAATAGCAAAAAAGGAAAAATGGGATAACCTCCTAAAGTGTCACTTCAAAACACAACCGAAGAATAATACAACGTACATAAAAAACAAACTTAAAAACCCAAATGAAAACTCTCAACAAAGTTTTGCACAAAAAGAACAATCAAAACAAAAATTACCTATCAATAATAGTAACTCAGTTCAAAAACTTTGAAGAGTTAAGACAACAACTAATAAGTAAGCAACACAATTTTATAGCTGCCAGATTAATAAATAACGATGAAATTAAAGGTAAATGATGAACAAGAATATAGAACAATGACAACAGATCTCTTAAACCAAAGCCAGACCAATAAAAGTGATGGCTAGAAACGTACGCCCTACCTGCAAGCCAGAAAATATAGCTGAGGAATTAAAGCAGATTTAAACTATTGGATGTGGTTACTATCCAACGAAAAGAAACTAAAAAAGAAAAAGAGGAAATCAAGTCATAACAACTGCTATGAAAAAGCCAATGATAACATTTTAAAACGCTGAGAACATTAAAAGAATTTATGAAATTAAGACATTACAAACCTAATTATCCAAACTGAGCCAGTGAGAAGCCCAAAACTAATACCGCAATCCAAACTTTGTCAAAAATATGGGCATACTAAACATTTTTATAATAGAAAACCAGTGAGTGTTATAGAAGAGTGTGATAAGCTGGCAAGTATACCACCAAAATGCGCAAATTGTAATCAAACACATCCAGCAAGGTATAGAGAATGCAAAGTCGCAACAGATATACAATACAGAAGAGACCAGATAAGCAAAACTAACCACAATAGAAATAATAACCAAACCACATGTCCTATCATAAATTGTTCAAATTACATTTGAACACTTAAGCAATATTACAAAACACATTCAAATACACATACACATAATCACACCTCTAAACAGAAGTATGCAATCCCATCTCTATCATTTTATCTATGAACAATGACTCCCCCTCCAGAAGGCGAGAGACATAAAATCAATAATCATTCAGACCAATGGCAAGAGGCCGACAATAAGCAACCAATCTAATTCGATACATTACGTAAGAAATGTTTCCCGCTAAAAATGTTTTAATAACTTTAGAATTGTAATAAAATAAGCCAGTCTATTGTAAGAGCTCCATCTCAACAGATGTAAAATTCATTCATTAGCCCAGTAGATGCCAAGTGTAATAAGTGCAGTGTAAATTTGTGATTTAACTAGCGTTAATAAAAAGCGCATTTTAAGAGTGCGTGTTTTTCTTATACTTATTACATTATTTATGGAAGCTTGGTATTAGCCGGTTCCCGATAGTTTTCTCGGCACATCAAGGTTGATGATGGCCACCTCACCTAAATGGACGTCTAGGCCTAGAAATGGAAATAGGCCGCCCAACAATAAATAATGCACAAAGAATATCAAATTTGATATACTCAAACGAGGCTAGTAATAACAGACCTAATCCAACTAAAAACGAACCAAATCATGACTATGCTTAATACAATTTCTCACAGATTTACCAGATTAGAGGAAGCTACCTTCCCCCAAACGTCTAGACATCCTTAATAGAGCGTAATTGTAACGTGAAATGCCAATGTTCCTAATACAACAAAATATATATAACACATTCAACAAAACAAAGCTATATACAATTTAAAGTAGGTTAGGGTGACCAGACGTCAGGATAAAGCCGGACATGTCCGGCTTTTTTGCTTAAATGAAAACGTCAGGCCGGCTTTTTGTAGTGTCCGGCTTTTTATCAATCGAAAATTGATGAAATCATTTTATTAATAGTTAGTTTGACAATAAAGATTCAAAATGGGGAATTTTTATCATTATCTTTAGATAAAAAGTGGACTTACTTAAAATTTGTGAATTCTACTTTGCTATTCCGGCACATAATGCTGCCGTCGAGCGAATTTTTTCTTTAATCGCAGCGCAGTGGACCAAAGAAAGAAAGAAAGAAAGAAAGAAAGAAACTGTTTGTCTATCGAATCAATAAAAAGCCTCATAATGTTAAAATTTAATTTAAAAATGTCTTGTGAGGAATATTATAATTATTTGATGGACAATCCCAATATTTTAAAAGAAATTGTTTCTTCTGAAAAGTATAAGTAGTTTTTACCTCAGTAAAAATTGTTACATTTTTTTATATAAATATATTTGCTAAATGTCAGGTTTTTTTATTAAAAATCAGGCTTTTTTGTCCTGGTTGTCCTACTTTTCTGCAAATAAATCTGGTCACCCTAAGTAGGTATATAAAGTCTATGGTACTATACACTCGTCGGATAACGCTAGAGGTGAAAGCGCCGTAATTATGTCCAAAAAAAATTCAACGGAATGACGAACGAGGACTCAGTCTATTAAAAGAAGAGAACAGTAGAAATTCATATGGCAACGCATAAAAAGATAGCTAAAGATACCAAAGAAAACTTCAATTCTAAGAAAACACCCGGGCATGATCTGATCACAGGTGAAATACTAAAACAATTGCCAAGAAAAGCTGTGGTTACAATCATATAATAAACGCTGCATTTCTAAAAGTCCTAAAGTCCAGAAAGGGTAGGGGTATTTATAAATTCAATTAAAAAAATTCAGATTCAGAAAAAAACAATTTTAGTAATTTTTGGCCAAAGTTTTGAAAAATTAGGTTCCAAAGATTACGTTGTCCATATGTTGATCCTCGCGCTGCTGGCACTATTCTAACCGAAAACGAAAATTAGTCGCCAGCCACGTGTCTACACATCTCTCTGGAAACGGCGGCCATTTCACTGCGGATGTTGTGCTTCAATTGCAGTAGATTTCATGGTGTTTACATACACTTTCTCTTTAAGATATCCCCATAAGAAATAATCAAGAGGTGTAAGATCGGGGCTTCTAGGGGGCCAGTTGATGGTGCCTCGACGAGAGATCACTTTTTCGGGAAAAGTTGATTGACAATCACAAGCGATTGGTTTGAGGTGTGACAAGTAGCTCCATCTTGTTAAAACTATGTTTCCCCATTAAAACCTTTAAACTCCTGTAGTTGCGGAACCAAGAAGTCCTTTAACATATCGCAATATCTTTCACTGTTTACCATAAGAGCTCGCCCTCGCCGGTCTTAAAAAATAAGGCCCAATGATGTTGGGTTCAAACAGAGCGCGAGCGATCTAGATTGAGAATTTTCACAGTCGAAACGGTATTTTCAAACATTCGGATGCATCGATGGTATCGTTCATCGGTACATTAAATTCTACACAATATAAACGTAGAACTGTGACTATAAAATCATCATTACGATAAAAGGCGCGTACGAAAAAAGCGCGATGATCTCCAGGGTACACTTCCTTAGTTACTAAATCTCCAAACAGTAGGGCAACAACTACTAGCTGCGCCGTTACAAGGATTGTAGAAATAAGTTGTATAGTTAAGTAAGTAAATACATAGTAATGAATCGGTCTTACCTTCGTTGATGGGCATAATCTAAAAGTAAACAGTCTCTTTGGTATAAATTTTAAAATAAGTTCTTTGATTATCAACTGTTTCGGCGAAACGTAACATAAAACTTTTTTCGGTTTCGGCGTCCGTTCTCCATGAATACCGACCAATTTTGCATCGTAACAAATATTGTGATTTTTCGAAGCTACGTTTTTATGGACTAGAGTAGAATCTACACCTTGAAAAAATAATACATCGAATTAATTAAACAACATTTAAGATTTTTAAGGAAAGAAAACTCGAAGTCATTTACCAAATATTTTTTATTACTGATTATGCAAGATAGTACAAGTTTCAGCCTCTATGGGCCATAATCAGGCCTAAAAATATGGGTTATAAGAACTTCCCAAAAAAAAATGTATATTTAAGTGAAGATTAATCTCAAAACAATTATTCTATAGTCCAGAATTTATGTGTTGTGGTAATTGAAAAAATTAATATGAAATAAACCAAACCATGGAAACCTACGATTATAGTAAAACGAGGTTTAAGTTTTATTTTACATCTTTTTCAGGATGATATGCCCTGATTACATAGTACCTTTTCGTGTTGGCGGGTGTGGGACCTGTAAGTACAGCAGGTTATGTAATATCGTCAATTATGCTATTTCTAACCTTAAATATAGTATATAGTTCATAGTATAAGGTGAGAAATAAGATTAAGGGAAACCACAAAAACCTAAATCACTATACTGTACAGTAGTATGACAATGGCTGTATATGTGATTGAGATGGGTTGATTTATCATATAGATAATGGGGCTAGAGTCCAGTAGATCCTGGAGTTCAGTAGTGAATGGGAGTTCTTGAGATTCGAAGAGTAATCTTAAACGTGAGAATAAAAACTTATCCGCTGGGAGAGCGAAAGGTAAGATATTGGCATCTCTCGAGTGTGGTGGGTTTGCTGGCAAAATGTGTTGGAAATACACCGTGAGGTACGGCTCTATATTCAGCAGTGGGGCAGATATATGAATTGTAACTGTGAATTAGAGTATCTTATCGAGAATGCGTTGGACATCCGAGGACCAGTTGAGAGTAAGGAAGAATCGCACTCCCAAATAGTCAACTTCAGTCTGTTTGGCGAGTCTGACTCCCGGGAAATTTACATTAACGTTCTGTGGAAGCTGGGTGGCTCTTTGAGAGTTTGGATATTTAAAAATTAAAAATTGTTTTTTTTTGTGAATTGACTGAGATCCTTCATCTGCTACACACACATTATGTGGAGGTGGAATGTCGTGAGTGTATATATATATATGAGGTATAAGAGAGGGGCCAGGACGGAGACCTGTGGTACTCCAGCAAGTGAGGTAAATGGGTATGACAGGGCGTTGTCCACTTTGACTGTGATAGTTCTGCCAGTCAGGGTATGAAATTGGAGATGTTGAGAGGGAGACTTGTGTTCATGAACTCTTTGACTAGTCCAGCATACTAGACTTGGTCAAAGATTTTTTTAACATCGAGAAGCAGGACTGAAGATATTTTGAAAGAGTTTACTGCAGTGACCGGAGTAGTATGAAGTGAGAGAGAGAGCGTCCTGAGTGGAGTGATGAGGTCTGAAACCATGTTGGGATTGAGGAATTACGTTTCGCTCTTCACAAAATTCCTAGATTCTTTCTTTAAGCAGAAGTTCAAGGAGTTTACCTAGTACAGGTAGGAAAAAGATAGGATGATGAGTCTAAGGATTTGGGGGTCCTTGCTTGGTTTGGGGATTAAAATGATGTTGGCGGATTTCCAGGCAAGTGGAAAGTAGGAAAAGGAGAGGCAGGTGTTCAGGAGTAGGGTAAGGATGGGAAACCAACCTCACAAAGCACATAGAGGTTCTACGTGATTGACCAAGGTTAAAACCAACAAATGACATTTCTTATGCTATTAACTCCAAACTCTAGATGGGGCTACTGGTGAAAGTATGATTTCTTTCTCTATTTTAAATTTTTAATGGGTGTAAAACTGAACCAAACTAAACCAAAGAATCCAAAGATATGTGTATTTATGTTTTTGGTTATTCTCAGTTTTCCGTTTGATTTTAGTGATTTTTTGTTGGCTTTGGTTTCTGTTTATTGTTTCTTCTTAGTTATTTGCAAAATTGTGATGTTTTGTTTTTCTATTTCCTACTGTGTTTTGCAATAATTTTGGTGCTACGTTGAAAACTTCGAGAAAAACTTGATTCGCCTTGCAGTTATTAATAACATATTTTAAGAATGTTCTATTTTATTATTTATTGATATATCTTATATTTATTTAATAATAATATGCATGACCAACTCTTCACATCAGACCCCTTATAACAAATTAATTCTTCAAATTTGGCATACTCGACTTAAATTATTTTGTAAAATAAAAGTTTCGAACTTACTAGTTCCATACTTTATTTTATAAAATAATTTATGTGGAAATCATTTAAAATTTAATTTAGAACTACTACCTACTACTAAAAATTACAATTTGAATTTACCACCATCTGTCAATTGTCATTTTAGTTCCTACTCCAAACACAAGGTGGCGCTAGAAGATACGTGCCTTGTGGGAAACCTGGTTTCAGGAAGATGTTTCAGCGTTTTTTTATGTATTTGTCTGCTTGGCAGGCGTATTGGATGTTTTGAGGGTAAATGGGATGATGAAGAGGGTTTTTTGACATCCAAAGGTGGGACTGGAACGGTAAGTTTCTGATGGACGTTGAGTTCGGTATCGTGTCGGAAACAGTCGTCAAAGTAGGGGGTTGTCAGGGGTTCTGAAAATGACTTCAAAGTGTGTCTTAGGAAGTTGTGTGTATTTCACCGTCGATTTCGATGTGGAAATGTGTTGTGGATTTTTAACCGGTGATGATTCGAAATTTATTCCAAAACTTGAAACCATCTCTATGATCCAATTTAGAATGGACTACAAATGGGGTGAAAAAGTATAGGGAATAAAGGGCACAATGGAGAAGAGGAGAGTAAGTATCAGCAATATAGAAGAATGGAAAAAGGAAAATATATACATTACTGTATTGAGTCAGTGTGGACTGCAATAGGTGGAGAGACCAATATGTATTTTCTTTGTTCTTAAACGAACGAGGATGTAAAGAGGTTTATACCACCGTAGTTAAGTGGGTCAGGTAAATTAAGGGAAACAACAAAAATAGTAATAGGGCTAGAAGGTGCTGATAAGCGAGGGTAAAAACATACAATGAGAGGAGGAAATTATAATGAAAGCTAAGAGTATGTCAAGAGTAAAAGGAAAAGTAGGAAAACGAAATGAGGGTGAAGGTAGTAAGAATCAGATGAAGGAAAAAAGGAATCTTATAAAATGGTTTTTGGAAATAATTCTGTGGTAAATAACTTTGCGTTTTCTTTCCTTATAAGTAAAAATAACTTACTTTACTTAACATTAAGATTGATTTTTGTTAATATTATTAAACTTACTATTTAATACGATAATATCGAAGTCTCCGTTATGCAATTCGGTGCCGTGGTAATAAATGGTAGCGTGATAGCAACCTTCTCGAACGAATTTTAGTTGTACGCTGACTCGTTGCGTTTCCCAATCGTAATCTAAGCAAGTTGTAAAGTTTTCTTTGTCTATGTCTAATTCCGAATCGTGCGATTGGCTGCCTAGTTGTACGATGTCTACAGTGTAACCCTGAAAACAATTTTCTATATCTATATCATTTTTAATCTATATTTGTGGGTAGACAGAACGTGGATTATCAATGAATAGTTGAGCCAGGAGAAACTAAAGTAGTTAAAAAACGAAGGGAAATTATTCTTTTTTGTGTTCCAGAATGGATACATCAATAGGTTTGCGGATATAGAAATTTAAAAACAGGAAATATATTTTTCAATTAATTATTGAACTAGGTAATACGAGATCCGTGTGATTGAATCTGGTCCACACTTTTAAAAATTGAAATTCTGAAATTTACGTCGAATAGATAAAATTTAAATTTATGTCACGAAAAATAATTCTTGTTTCGTAGAACAAATAATTATGGAAGTTTTTCTTATTTGGATCATTGCTTTTCATTGTGACTAAATTGCAGAGTCAAGTTGGTTGTGCTTTATGAAAGTAATTGAAAGGTGTTTGACATTTGTAAATGTGTAACTTACGAAAGCTTCCTGAGGCCACTTTTTTAATAAAAAAATACATTATTTACAATTGTTTACAATAATAATTTAATATTTCACAATTACAATTTATTATCGCTAAATTGTGAGTTGATGACTCACAGTTGTAACTTAATATCTCACAATCGCGACTAATTATCACGCAATTGTAAGTTTACTCACAATTATTTTTATCTTTGCTTTCCCCATATTCAGGTACTATCTTTAGAATAATTCTGTTTCTTTTGTTAGTTTTGTTAAGTTCCCTACCAAGTGTTCAAGGGGTGTTATTTCCAGTTCTATGCCAAATTGGTTAATTAATCGATTATTTTTGATTAATCGATTATTTTAGATTAATCAATAATTTTTGATTATAGAATATTTCGATTATGAAATATTTGGATGAATCAACTGATTATTTCGCTTAATCGATCATTCGAAAATTAAGTATAAATACTAAATTTTTTGACCAAAAAATCAAAATAAATGTGAATATTTAGTGGTTAAAATAAATGTTATCAGATTATTTTGATAATTGCCCAGCCCAGATCTCAATAGTAAACGTAATAAAATTGATAATGCATTCTGACAGCTGATAGATATATAAATGTGTTTTGCAAAATAAAATAGTATAAACAATCAGGTACCTCTGTGGGATTATCCCCGGAAGCATACCGACAAATATTGCTATATTCATCCCTAGGTTCGATGTACAGCAAATGTGCTACGTTAGCAGTACAAACTATGGTACTGCAGTGTCTCACAACCATGGTGCGTTGGGCGAACGCAGGTCCGGCTACGAAAATCGTGGTAAATGGACTGCCGGCCACGTGCTGAGTGCCCACCATAACGGATATTCGATACTGGCCAGCATGTCGGACGGTAAATTTCACTTTGGCCACGTTGGCGCTATTCGGGTCTGTCGGAGAACCCAGTTCCGTAATAACGGCTAACTAAAAAAAAAAAATATATGCATAAGTAGGTATAGATACCGGGTGTTTCAGAGTTAAATGTATATATTGCTACTTCAGTTCAAAAATGAGATAGGTACCTTTAAATTTGTCAAAAATGAGATATTTCCACAAAATTATTAAAAATATCGAACAATGTTTGGTTCAAAAGAGAAAGAATTTAGTGTCTTGTCATGAAAGTTGTAATGACTGCATAGCTATAAAGTTTAGTGTTTCTTCTGTTTTATGTTTAGTGTAACTTTGGTAACTTGTAACGACAGACAATTGACAGATGACCACAAGAATAAAGATATTAAAACCAACAGTGGAATGTTTAATTTAATACAACCATAAAATACAACCAAAACAAACGTAAATATTGGTATTTCCTTTTAGCACTCCATATATTCGTTCAAAACAGAAATATACTAAATTTTTCAAAAATCTGTTATTTTAAGATGTTTCTTTTTTTAACTGATATGCTAATTGTATATGAAGGACACTTGATTGATTCGAAATCACCCATTATTAATTTGTCAATCATATCTTATTACCTGGATACAAGGTGTTTTATGGATTTCGTCAATATTTTTATTTAGTTAAAACTCAACAACTACTAGGTATAAAAATTAATGCCATAGAACCCAGAATTAAAATCCAGTTCCAGCTTAACAAAATTTAGCCATTTCTTTTCACCTCAAAAACAATATCACGCATAACAACATTTTGCATATTAGATGAGTTGTTTCAAAGAGCAAGATCTTTTGAATATTTTTCGTTTTAGAGGTTCTAATTTGTTGTTAAAAATTGTCAACAATTTGCCAACTTTAAAGTTAAAAATTCCAGAAAGGCAAAATTGGTGGTTTCTACCTTATGGAGACTGAATGAAAAATCGAAAGACGATGAGGAGTATTAAGACGTTGAATTTTCGGGTTTATGAAGCATTGGCGTTACTTTCGCTAAACCAATTTTCCATTTCTTCCCATTGCTAGCTTTGGTTTTTAAGAGCCATTTCATGTCTCTTTTTGATTAGGGTATACAAATTGTTTGAAGAATTTATGTAAAAATATTAAGTCTCTCTGCTCCATTGCCTGCCCAAGTAAAAATATTTGGTACCTTATGCATCTAAAAATATTTTTCTACGATCACTATCCAAAGTAGGCTTTTGCACATTCAAATCTAACTAGAAAGTTGACGTTTTCCATGAATTGTCATAGTTTGACATTATTGCTGCATATAGGCGGAAAGTTACTTTTTGCACACGCCTATTTTTATTAGAAAATTTCATTACAAAGGTTGTTATTATAAAGCTAATCGGTATTTTAAAAGAAAATATAGACTAATCTGAATCTTTCAGTTGAACATTTAATACTCAAACTTATTTTCCTTAATATTTAAATGATAATTAAAATATTAAAAATATATTACCCTGTTTTTAACATATGATTATTTAACATGTCTTAGAGCCTAGCGCGTTTGACTTTGAACCTGATGGTCGTGAGTTCAATCCTCACCAGTTATTATTGATTTTTTTGTTTGTAAAATTAAATAAAACTTAAAACAGTGTATAAACCATTAATTTGCGATTTGAGTATTCTAACCGATGATCTTGTAAGTTATTTTTAATATGTACATACTAACAAATATTAAAAAAAAAAACGAAAACAAATCAAACTCAAATGTGATAGACGTAAAATAAAATGAATAAAACTCAAAGCCAATATCACATAAAATACCAACGACCGTTTCCCTTCAGAAAACAACTACTCCTTTGGCTAATTCCGCAACAGGTATTGAATTATATCCGAAGGAAAGACAGCAGAGATAAAAATTAAATTTCAACACTCTCTACCTTTGATTTTGCTCACTAAGGAAAACATCATTCTTGGACCGGTTTCGTCCTTATTAGGACTCTTCAGCAAGAAATAGATAGGTTCTCAATTCCAGTCTCTAATGGAATTAACAAATGCTACACATTTTACCAGTATACAATAATGTTGGTTATGAAGAGAACAAGAATTCAAGTAGTGAAATGGTGGTAATTCAATACCTGTTGCGGTATTAACCAAAGGAGTAATTTTTTCTGAAGGGAAACGGTCGTTGGTATTTTATGTGATATTGGCTTTGAGTTTTATTCATTTTATTTTACGTCTATCACATTTGAGTTTGATTTATTTTCGTTTTTACAAATTGCCCGCCTAGTCTTTTTGGTTCCACTTAGTTTTCTAACTGGGTACTACAGCGCACTTTGATATTGCTTACTAAGAACAGATGGCGACACCAATTCACTACTTGAATTCTTATTCTCTTCATAACCAACATCCATTATTGTATACTGGTGAAATGTGTAGCATTTGTTAATTCCATTAGAGACTGGAATTGAGAACCTATCTATTTCTTGCTGAAGAGTCCTAATAAGGACGTAATCGGTCCAAGAATGATGTTCTCCTTAGTGAGCAAAATCAAAGGTAGAGAGTGTTGAAATTTAATTTCTATCCCTGCTGTCTTTCCTTGGGATATAATTCAATACCTGCAGGTCTAACTTCTTTACCGAGATGGCAATTTTCGCAAGCTAGTTATAAAGGGATCTGAAGAAACAAGAAGGCAGTTTAATAAATCTTCTACTGTATTTTCTCTAGTATGACCTCTTCGAAACATTTTAAGATCCTTGTTTGTGCATTCTTGTGCCTCCTCAGACAGTTGTCCGATTGGCAGAATTGCATGGTCAATTATAGCAGAACCATGAATTAAAATTTTGTGCACACTCACAGGCATATAAAATCAAGGATACTCTTGAACAAACAAACGGGCTGTATCTTTTTTAAAGCGATCAAAGTTTTTAATATCAATCTTGTATCCCGATGACAATGCTTGTAGAATTGTTCCAAAACGGTTAATTAAACTGTAATTAATACCAGTTATACGGGCAGCAATATCTGGGTATTTAAAAAATGTCCTTGCTGTGTTACCGTCATTTGTTGTTCCGCTTCCTCCAGGTTTCACTTGGTCGACTAGTAGTCCTAGTTCTTGCCTCAGCTAATGCTGAACTTCCATTTTCCTAGCCTTTAACATGTCTTTATCGCCCCCTCGGGCCTGCCATTTTTCGAATGGTAATCGATAGGAAACATGCAACAGGCACTCGAAAAACCTAATCCAAGCATGTAATGTTGATAATCCGAAACGAAATGATTCTTTATTCACATTTTTAGCTTCGACTCTGTCAATCTGATTCATTTCTTTAGGGGTTGCGTGACATATGTAGCAAGAGAGCGAAGACGTTTGAAACGAAGCAGCATTACAAATTTTTTCGTCAACCATAGTCAGTAGCATGGTATACCTTACTGAAAATAGTTTTCCTTTAATATTCACTTCATATGGTATCAGATTTTTAATTTGTTCTTCGATACAGCGAATTTCTTTTTGGGGAAGTTCTGCAGTTTCTTTCTTGAACTAAATTTTTATCGGTCTGCAGTATCTTACAGAAGACGGTCGAGGATTTTGCCATAAAACAGACTCCGACCTATCTGTATTTTTACCACTTAATTATAGGGGCACAATTGAAGTAATGAAAATGTCAGAGTCACTGAAACCATCGCAGCCCCACTTTAATATTAGATTTAATTCTTGGGAAATATTGTCCAACAAAATTTGGTCAAACACATCCTCTTGAACCAGCAATATTCTGGAAGCTGTGTGATCCAAAAGATCTTGTAATTTAATCTCCGCTACCACTGGAGAAATCATAATCGACTCCGACTTAGGAAAACATTTTTTTTTTCGCAGATCGAACGTGGTTGTAGACTGGATAAATGTCAGCATTTTTTATTTTAGCTTGTAAGCGAATTAAATTATACTGATGTTTCGTTAACTTGGCCTCAATCATCAGGGACAAAGAGTCATCGCTTGTATATATTTAATAGGTTTACGATGCGATTCCTGCCATGCATGCAACATTTTGGCTTTGGACTTGCTTCCAATGCTTCGCCAAGAATCTTTACAGCATCGTGTTTCCCTTCGGCCCGTAAATTCATTTTTAACGCATATGTAAGTTCGGCGTTACCGTCTTATGGGCGCAGTTGTTCTATTTTGCGTCTTTTAGTTCTTTCACTACTCTCTTCAAATGATAAGGATTGTCGACCTACTTGAGAAGTTGATGCTGAACTCATGCTGTCGTATTCAACATTGATAAGTGGTACTTTTAAACACGATCTTTATTCCTAGATGATGCTTCTCATCTCTTTGCCAGTTCACAACAAAATCGAGAAACATTTTTTATTATATCTTGCCCATATTTCTGTAAATGCTCTTCACTAAAAGAATTCACTATATTATCCTCAAGAGCTTTATTTTTCTCGGTAATATTTCTTCCCGATATTAACCAAACTTCAAAAAGCTCAAGGCGTGAATAAATCCTTATGTTTTCTGCAAAAAAAATAGCCTGTAACTATATCGCGAAATCATAGTACTTAATTTTATGCGTGACAAATATTTTCTGATCTCGAAATTCGTTTAAAAAAAAAATATTTTAAAATTTTTATTTCATCTAACAATACATCTAACTATCAAGAGATCTAATTAACAAGTGAAGTAATGCATATAAAAATGTTGTAAACCAGAATTATGAAATTAGATACGCGATAACAGTTTCTAAGAAAATAGTCGTTGACTCTTTATTCACATAAGGAACGTTGACGTAATTCGTGCTAAAATTTGCACGACGTATTACTTTTTGCTATATTAATTATGGTCGCACTTTGGCGCAGTATTTTTCTTTAGAAAAGGTTAAAGGAAATTCGGATGCATATCACATAATAAATAATTTCGCCGGGAAATATAAGGAACTTTTCATATCTCTAGTGAAAGTGAGGAATCCTGTACAAAATATGATGTGAAGTAAGCGTATTAAAGATTCTTAGCTATCCTGTTTGAAAAAAAAGTAAACCACGCAAAAAATATCCTACAAATAAGCACATACCTTGAACCACACCTGCCATATTCGGTTTAGATATAAGCACTTCGATAACAGTTCTTGCAGTACTTCAAATATATGTATCTGAAAAACACTTTTATTCGCTAAACAGCTCTGTATTACATCTGTCCACTTCAACGATTTGTAAATTAACTAATGCGAAACTGATAATTTTATTGTCAGGTACCTAAAGTTTAATGAATTTACAGCCGTGAGAGGTCAATAAAACCCTGCTGTGAAACATCTCTTAAAAGGGCATTTTGGCCGGGATTTATGATTTCTGGCCCATAGTGAGGTGATACGAAATGTACAACACACCCCCGCTGGTACGTCACTACTAAACCTACGATTAACGTATGTAAATTTTACTTTGAAATAAATATAGATAATATTTTTCACTGATTTTTCGATTGTTTTTCGCTAGTTTAAATCCGGCTCTGTAGGACCATGAAAAATAAAAGTCTCTAGAATGTTGGCTTACCTTTCTTGCTCCTCCGCAAACATCAACAGTAAAATTATCAGTATCACAGATTGGATAAGGCTGTCCGTTACGCTGGTAAAATTGCACAGTAAAACAAACTGTTTGGCCCACCGGATGGGGACATGACCATTGAAAATTTACCTGAAGAAAAAAATAAATATTAAACCAAAGTCTTTCCTACCAACATTAATATCTCAAGCGCGTCTTAGGACTTTGTAAAATGAAATTTAAAGTTGTTTAAAATTCATTTTAGCGAAAGATGTTTGCAAGGACAGCATTAAAGGTTAAGGTGATTATAACACCTCTTATAATTTTAGGACAAGGATACCTCAAAAGGTATTTTTTTTTTAAATTAAAATTTTGGCAAACGAAGCGTTTTAGCCACTAATTTTGGCGAATTTTAAAAAATCATTAACAAGACATTAAGAGCTCAAGTTTCGGGATTATATTAAGAATAGGTTTGTTGGGAATGCATTTATTTTCATTATGTTTCAAAATTTAAAGCCCTTTGATTTTTTTTCTCGGAAACTATAAGGAATTAAAACTTTTAAATATATGCATATTCTAGATGTTATTGTCTAATTTATGTTACCAAAATTTTAATTTTTTAACATAATTACTTTTTGAAATAACCTCGTCCGAAAATTATAAGGGGTGCTATATTCGCCTTAACTGGAACTTCTTTGCAAACTGGAATGTGTCTCGAGATAGGTTTTTTCTGTAATTTTATTGGAAGTGAATTAATGAAATTACCTTACAGTTAGAGGGTAAGAGGTATTTTCCAGTAACATATTGCAGTAAAGAATGTTTTGCTTCTGGTGCTAGAGAGGGTTGGGTCATAGCAGCCAAAGTGACCAATCCGGCAACAGATACGGATACCACCAGCATTCCTCCTGAAAACAAACAAAAAATATCAAATTTATAATTTTTTTCATCACATTTTAAACATTTTAAGTTTCAGATTTTAATCCATTCCTTCGTATTTTTTTTTATATTTAATGTATAAATAACTAGTATGTAAACAACTCATTTAAAAATAAACTTGTTTTAAATGGGTCGATAATTAGCTACGATTATTATGTTTACTTACAGTAAAATTATTGTTTATTGTTTACAATCGTAAACCCCTTTATTGGTAAAATATAAAAGATATGTAACATCGTTATGTTCTCCAATAAGTCACGGGACGATGACTTCTTATGTGACAGTTTAACTAAAATTATATCTCAAATTATTAAGTTCGTTATTATACTTTTAGCCGGTTGCAAGAACGATCGTTAAATATTTATAGACTCATTAGCGTTAATGATCCATTAAAAATACATTCCGATCCTCGATAGCTATTGAAAGTCGTAAATTTGGCAACACGGCGCGTTTTCCTCAATATGACCAATGCTGTATATCGTTATAGAGATTGCTCTCGCCCATTTTTAAATAGAACTACGAAAAGCGAATTCCAAGTGTTCACTGAATAAAATCTTTCTGGACCAAACATGTTTTAAAATAAAATTTTAGGATTTTAGTATTTAGAAACACAAAAAAGAATGACCTATTTTAAATCAAGACACCATATTATGTTAGGTGTTTTAAGCACATACATAGGTTTATGTGTTGTAACGTTGAGTTTCCATATCGTCAAATAATATTAAGAGATCTAAACAATTTTATAACAGAAAAACAGTAACAAAGCCTACACAAAAAATATTAAGGACTCCTTAGTCGATTACCATGACGACTCTACTGCCGAATTATTTTAAGATTGGTTCTAAACTAAACTTTTGCCAAATATTCCACCCAACAGTATTATTGTTATGGATAATGCCTACAGTCGAAGACTAGATAAGGCACCTTGTTCAAACGACATAAAAGCCATCATACAAGATTACATGGTAAACAATGATTTGTATTTTAAGGAAAAGTACACAAAAAAACAGTTACTGGAAGTTTTAAAAAGCTATTCAATACAAAAGAAATATTTTTGTGACACATTAGCTAAGAGCTTGGGACATACGGTGCTCACACTTCCTCCTTACCACTGTATGTTTAACCCAATTGAACATTTATGGCCTCAGCTTAAGTCAGCAGTTCGAAAAAATACTTGTCCAACCTTAAGTTCGACTGTAGTAGGCTCTTATTCAAACAGAAGCTTCAAAAATTCCTGATAGCAGCTGGGCCAAGTGTGTTTCCCATATAGAAAAGGTGGAAAAGACATATATTGATATAGAAAAGATACCAAGAGAAAGGTTCATTATTAATTTGGATGACGATAGTGAAAGTGAAACTGAACTTCGTGAGTAATTTTGTTTAAATTTGTTAAAATAAATAAAATATTAGAAAATGAAATGTAAAAATTCCACTTATATTAATAAAAATACTTATCTGAGTAATTCAAAATTGACAATTGTTTCAGAAGCATAAACTTCTATCGCCAAGAATGACAATACTGGAATTTTTACATTTAAATTTTTAATATTTTATTTATTATGAATAGATTCCACAATGAAAGGGTAGAAACAATCACTATGACCTAGCTACTTGTTCGTATTTTGTCATACTGATTTTTATTTTTACCAAGTTACCACTTTATACTTTTTAATAATTATATTTTATATGTTCAACCTACATTCTGTACTTTTAAATACTTTATTTTTTACTTTTAAGTACTTTTATTACCTACCTACTTTTTCGTACTTTATCATACTGATTTTTGCTTTTACCAAGTTACCACGTTACTTTTTGTACACACTGTACATTTAATTAAATAAACAATTCTTAATTATAGCGATTTTTCTTAATATTTATTTTACCTCAATTATTGACATATAGAACAAAACTTAATGGCTAGAGTAGGTACGTCTCTGCGTAGAGACGGCCGCCTGCTGATAAGTAAATTACCTGCTGTTTTATGGTAGTCACTGGATCTCTGGTTAAACTATACCTATTAGTTCTATTAAATACCTTAATGACATTGTTTTAGGGTTACTTCTGAAGTTATTAATGTTACTTTTAGCCAACTGGTATTAATTTAGTCTCTTGGGATACAAAAACTCACTTAGGTAGGTACTTGTTCCATCCCTTTCTTAATTAAGTTAAATATAACCAGCCTAAATACATCTTCTCTAACAATCAGTGATATATCATACTTGACTTATAAAAGAAAACTTTTCCCCTCCTCTGCCAATCCGTCCTTTGTCTCATCTTGAAGACATCACACTTTTGGATATCTTTGTCCTCTTTTTAATAAAGAAAGTTTCATACATAATAGCTGCATTCAGTCCTGAAGACACCCATTGGGCCGAAACCGAAACATTTTAAACAGTAAAAAACATTTTGTGGTATTGACTTTTTATACTTACCTATTTATTTCTGTTTATGAAAATGACCACATTCAAACCCTCATAATTTAATACCTATAGTGAATGAAAATAAATGTTGCTCAGGAATTTTACCTTTTATAAATGTATCTTGTTTTTATACGTAAAACGTAAAACACCATTACCTTTTTAATTTTTATTTGATTTTTAATGTACTTTTTTGTTATTAATTTAGATTATAGAACAGGGTAATATAATCCTTTGTTTTCCATCGTAAAATCCGATTTTTCACTTTGTTAAATCTTCTTAAAATTCGTTTTCTTTGTGTATTTTTAAATATATTTTGTAAATAATTCTCACGTTAAAAGTTCGTCTTCGTCTAGTCTCGGCTCTTGGCGCTTTTGACTTTTTTTTTCAGGTGTTGTAACGCGAAGAGACGTTCCCTATGGCAAATTCATTACGAAAACATATCGTTCGTCTTCACCTGCCGTATGTTCTATTAAATGGATCAACAAAGACAGATATACATATACTTATACTGTCATTTGTAAAAGCGCCTTTGCCAAATTTACCATTTAGAAAATAATTTAGGGAGTGAATAAAGTTACAGGTTCATTAGCTAATGAGAGATTTTAACAATCGTTCTTGCAACTGGCTGTTTTTTTTGTGTTGAAAATGAATCGTGGTTATCCGAAAGTAGATTCAACTAATCTTCCACGAGTTAAAGGTGATGAGGTGTTATGCAGTATTTTATTGTCGATGTGTAAAACATAAAAATACAGAAGTAAGTCTGATCATATTTGGCAAAGTTATAACCATTTGTAATAATTTTATTGATTGCTTATGAGCGCCAATAATAAACAACAATATTTCAGCACTAATTTGATTTTAAATAATTAAACGGACAAATAAAACTTTTCTTGGTATAATGAAGTCCTTTACTGAATGTTTTTACGTATATTATGATTAAAAATTGCGACGCGTTGTTCTAAGAGTCATTTCAGAATGAAAAACTATGTAGAATAGTATATTTTTGAATATAACAGCGTTGTTAAGCTGAAACATTAACTCTCTATCAAATGAAAAATAATCTAAAAATAATCATAATTTTCGATAAATCAAAACGTTTAGTTTTGCAGTTTTAAACAACTAATTCCTACTAAATATTCAGCGTACAACCTTGTTGTTATATCTTTATACATGCCACAATCTGCAGTAATAAAACAAAGTGTACTTTGAATAACTGCATTGTATACAAACCGATCTCGCAAAAAAAACAATCCACAACAAATATAATGTACATCAACACAAAAGCAGAATAACAAATAGGTATATTTATAGGTATACAATGTAGATTTCTCACAAAATATTAGCTTTAAATATCTAAATACTATGGTTAATTAATTTCATATTATTTTTTTTACCTTAAGTTAGTATAACTGCGACCATTACTTTGAATTGGTTCATTTAAGTTTACTGGCAAAACGTATATAACTAAGGTGCCGCGCATTGTTCTACACGTACCTATTCAAATATTTTATCAAGTAAAACATGACGTACCTATCTATACTTTAATTTTGTTTCAATGTTGTAACTACTACAAAATAGAGTCGATGCTGCTGGGGTTGCGTAATGTTGATTTTTGTTTCCAATTAAGAGGAGGCACTGTTCCTCTGGCATTGTCGCCGTAAAATATTTAAGGATAAACATTTTAATTAACCGGTACTCTTATTTGAAATGTTTTAGAAATAAAAGTTCGGGAAAGTGTATTGTCATGAAAAAGAACTTGCAACTTTGCAAGAAAAATTACGAAGACAGTACACCCCATAAAATGTGTATGGGATTTGTCATCTTTTAAACCATTCATACTTTAGAAATTGGTTATTCTTGTGCCATTATTGATTTAACACAATAATTCCAATAATGTTTTGGCTCCTAATATTAAAAAAATCAATGTTTTTCGAATTACGGCATGTTTTGAAAATATCAGGATTGGTTTCCGAGATATTAGATAAAAACCAAACTAGTTACATTTCTTTATTCCACTACAGTGCGTTTATTTTTAAAAATAGGCAAAAACTTATTGAAGATTATTGATTTATATCAAATTCTACATAATTTTTTTGCCCGACGTTTCATAAATGCAAGACTTCCATCAATTTTTTTATTTAAATACGGACCTGTGTTATTCAGACAAATCATTTGAATGCATCTACAATGATAAATACAATGATGAAACAACATATTAGAAAAATTTTAATACAATCAGCTAAGTTTACTATTATGAATTACTTGTAATGGCAACTACGTTTATTTAACTTTAGTTAATTTTATTACTAATGACAAAAATAATTTAATTAAATATTTATTATAAATATGTACTTTAACTACTCAATCACGCCATATAAGAATGAAAGAAAAACAACCAAAGAAAAACCTACTTTAGTGGCTTAACTGCGTTTCTCCGCATTGGTTCATTTGTGCAGTGAACACCCAGTTAAATTTCAAAAAAGCACATTATTTTAAAAGCACATATAAATAACTTAATATAAATTCTCTTTAATATATTATTTTCGTAC